ACAGCCAGGGCTAAGAAACCCAAACATAAGGAACGAGGCCCCTTTTTTACCCATAACTTAAACTTCGATTCCTCATGGAAGACCTGAGGAAACCCCAAGGAAAACTGTAAAACAATCAAGGAACACCGAGCCCCTCCCCAACGAAAAGGGTTCCTTCTTCAGCGCCCCGACCGTAGGACGAAGCCAGGACGAGGATAACATCGGGTGGGGATAAGCCGAGAATCTCTGAGATCCGGCGGCCCTGGAAGATGTCTGGAGCGCCGCGGCCTTCTCAGAGCGTCCTGGAACGGATCCATCCTCGTCCTGGCCCCGTCCGAGATGAGGAGTCATTGGCAAAGGGTGGAAGCTGTTCATGTATCCGCAGCACCGGCACCAGAGCCGCTATGGATGTAGTCTCCACCGGAGGAGGAGGAGGAGGAGGAGGAGGAGGAGGAGGAGGAGGAGGAGGAGGGTGAGGAGGGGGGGGAGGAGGGGGAAGGAGGAGGAGGGGGAGGAGGAGGAGGAGGAGGAGGAGGAGGAGGAGGAGGAGGAGGAGGAGGAGGAGGAGGGCCGGGCTTGTGGGTCGAGTGCCCTGGGCACACCACGGGCGGGGGGGGTGCCCATCTAGCAGGTTCTCCTCGGCACCCGGGTGAAGGGCGACAGAGAAGAAGGAGGAGAAGGAGGAAGAGCAGGAGGAGAGGGAGGAGGTGGAGGATGAGGATGAGGATGGTGATGATGATGATGATGATGAGGATGAGCAGGAGGAAGAGGAGGAGGAGGACGACCCTCCTCTCATCCAGGGCGCCGACTCTCCTCTCATCCACCTCCTCCTTGCGCGCTCATTATCCCTCCTCCTCCCTCCTCCTGGCCCTCCTCCTGGCCCTCCTCCTCTCTTTCCCCCTCCCGCCTCCTCCCTCCTCCTCCCCTTCTTCCTCGCTTCCTCCTCCCCATCGTCACTTCGTCCTCCCCTTCCTCCAACCTCCTCCTGGTCAATCTCCTCGTCATCCATGCCTCCTCGTCCATTATTTTTCCTCCTCCACCTCCTCCTCCTCCATTCATTCTCCTTATAGATAAACTCTTCCCTGTCGTACCCCGAGGCCAGTTGTTAGGGCGGGCGGGGCGTTTCGCCTCAGCTCAGACTTCCCCACCATTTATGACTGTGAGGGTTTAAAAATTGAAATTATGCTAACGGAGTTCCCCACATAATGATGTTTTTGGGCTAGCGGGATCAAGCAACATTTTGTAGAGAAATTGCCGACCTGCCCTCGCCCTCTCCATCCTTTTCTATCACATGGTGGGAGGGGCACGAAACCTGATAAATAACAGGTGATGCGAATACCCTCCTCGCTCAGGCGGGGCCTCCCTGGAGGGGTGGGAGGGGCACGAAACCTGATAAATAACAGGTGATGCGAATACCCTCCTCGCTCAGGCGGGGCCTCCCTGGAGGGGTGGGAGGGGCACGAAACCTGATAAATAACAGGTGATGCGAATACCCTCCTCGCTCAGGCGGGGCCTCCCTGGAATACCCTCCTCGCTCAGGCGGGGCCTCCCTGGAGGGGTGGGAGGGGCACGAAACCTGATAAATAACAGGTGATGCGAATACCCTCCTCGCTCAGGCGGGGCCTCCCTGGAGGGGTGGGAGGGGCACGAAACCTGATAAATAACAGGTGATGCGAATACCCTCCTCGCTCAGGCGGGGCCTCCCTGGAGGGGTGGGAGGGGCACGAAACCTGATAAATAACAGGTGATGCGAATACCCTCCTCGCTCAGGCGGGGCCTCCCTGGAGGGGTGGGAGGGGCACGAAACCTGAGAAATAACAGGTGATGCGAATACCCTCCTCGCTCAGGCGGGGCCTCCCTGGAGGGGTGGGAGGGGCGCGAAACCTGATAAATAACAGGTGATGCGAATACCCTCCTCGCTCAGGCGGGGCCTCCCTGGAGGGTTTTCTGGTATGGTATTGGTATGGTATGGTATTGGTATGGTATGGCTTGGTATGGCTTGGGATGTTATTGGTTTGGTATGGTATGGTATGGTATGGTATTGGTATGGTATGGTATGGTATTGATATGGTATGGCTTGGTATGGCTTGGTATGGTATTGGTATGGTAAGGTATTGGTATGGTATGGCTTGGTATGGTATGGTTTAGGAGAAGGACGCGGGAGGAGGAGGAGAAGGAGAGGGTGTTCTGGGAAAACAAGAACCCCACTCAGGATGTGGGGAAAAAGCTTCGCAGATGGAGGGCGGGTGGTTTTCAACATGTGGCTCTCGCCTGAGCGCCGCGCACATTCGTTTTGGACATCTGCAATGAGGTTCACGCATTGAGGGCGGGTGGTTTTCAACATGTGGTTCTCGCCTTAGCGCCGCGCATATTCGTTCTAAAATCTGCAAGGGTTTCACGGATTGAGAGCGGTTGGTTTTCAAAATGTGGCTCTCGCCCAAGCGCCGCGCACATTCGTCGTAAACATGTGCAAGGGCTTTTAAGGATTGAGGGCGGGTGGTGTCCAACATGTGCTTCTCGCCTTAGCGCCGCGCACTTTATTTTCAAGAATTAAAAGAATTTCACGTATTGAGGGCGGTTCCTTTTCAAAACGTGGCTCTCGCCTTAGCGCCGCGCATATTCTTTCTAAACAATTGCAGGAGTTTCACGGATTGAGGGCGGTTCCTGTTCAAAATGTGGCGCTCGCCTTAGCACCGCGCACATTATTTTCTTTACAGTTGCAAGGATTTCACTGGTTCCCATCATCAGCGTACCAGAAATGGCGTTCTGGAAAGACTCAGGGTTATGCGGGCACGACAGTTACGTTGATTCGTTGTGTTGGAGTCTTGCAAAAAGGCGTTCTGGCACGATCCTGGATCGTCAAGACGCAGCAGTCAGGTTGATACGTGGCGTTGACATCCCGAGAACAACATTTTGGCACGCTTCAGGATCTTCAAACTGTTGTCTTCCAACGAGGCAGTTCCCTCAATGGAAATGAACCGTTGTATGGGGCCTATGAAGGGGGAGCTTGGAAGGAGGGTTAATTCCAACATCGTTGATGACTCTGGGCTTTCCACTGGTCCTCCTCCTCCTCCTCCTCCTCCTCCTCCTCCTCCTCCTCCTCCTCATCCCAACACCTCCTCGCGCGGGCACTGCGGACATCTCCGCGCTGTACGATACACTCTCCCGTCCCAAGCCCCCTCCCCTCTCTCTTGTGTTGCATCTTCGGGGGACCTTGTCTGTCCCGTTGCGCCGCGATCCACGTCGAATCCATGTCGAATCCGTGTCGAGCGCGTTGAATCCATGTGGAATCCGTGTCGCGTCCGAGTCAAATCCGACTCGAACGCACGTCGAAATCCGCGTCAAACCAACGACGGAGTACATGAAAAGAGTGTCATTTTCAGGAGAGGTACTGCCCCCCAGAGATACAAAGCAAATACTCACTGCGCGAAGCACCCAGGGGAAGTCAAGAGCAATGCGGCAAAATGGGGTCATCAAGCCGCTTCGCAAATTTAGGCCTGGAGGCGCCAAACCTGACGAAATAGCAAGCGAGTTCCTCAATATAAACCAGGGACGCCCTTCATCCGTGACCGTTTTTCTTATCAGGAATCGCCCCGAATCTACGAGCTACTGCTTGGACCTGAGAGGCGCCCAGGCGACAACCCCAATTTGCAAACAACCCACCCTCCGTCCGTCCCACAAGTGGAGATCCAAAGCTTGAAGCTCGTGTACGGTGGGGACGTCTCAGGCGAAACGCTGTGCACGGTGGGGACGTCTCCGGCGAAACGCCCAGCCAGCCCTAACGAAAGATCCGGCGGTGCGACAGGGAGGAGGAGTCTGTAAAGAAGAAGGATTGGGTGGAGGAGAAGGGACCAGGGCATGGAGAGGGTTGAGGAAGACGGGGATCAGGACGGGGGAGGAGAGGCAGGGAAAGGAAACCGGCGCCCCTGCATCGGACTGGCTGGGGCCCAAGCCCCGCAAGGCCTGGGTCTGGGCCCCAGCCTAGGGCGGGTTTTTCAAACTCATTCTGAGTGGCCCATGGGTGGATGCCAGGGAGCACAAAAAACCTCATGATAAGCACCCCGACAGGCAAGGGCGAATAGCAAATGCACCCAAGGAAGGAATCGAACAGTGAAGGCTGTTTAGTAAACGCCCATGGCATTTTAGAAAGCACAAGTTGTGAGGGCCGGGGTGGTTATTTCCCCTCTGATGTGTGGTGGTGTAATCTATGTTGTGTACTACAAATACACACATGTGAATATTAGATGCTTTGTGGGTGCATGCAGTCTATGCTGTGCAATTGGTGCGATACCATCTATGTGGTGTACCCTAGCTGTGCAATCAATGTTGCGTAATATATTTAGGACAACCCGTGTTGTGCAATATGTATATATACACGATGCAAGCGATGCTGTGCAATATAGGTGATACATGTTTGTGGCGCAGAGTATCAAGTGGTTGTGCAGCATGTGATGTGTAATAGATGCGGTGCAGGCTATGTCGTGAGCCAACAGCCGCAGGTGCGATTTCTTATGTCGTGCAATCTACGTGGTGCAATCCAAAGGCGACGAAGGGCGGCGACGGCGGCAACGTAGCCGCCAGACCGAAGACACCGCCCAGACGACGGGCGGCGACCAGGCGGCGATGGCGGCCACATGGCCGCAAGACCAAAGACACGGCCCAGTCAGCCACAAATGTTCCAAGAAACACATAGAGTAGAGGCCAGTCCACAGGAAACCTTCCACAAGAAGCCCAACCCTGAGACCCCAGGACGTCCATTGGTGTTTGATACGAGAACGTTCCGCGTTCCACCGCAGAACCGTCGAAACCCAAGAAACCCAGGGCACCCTGGAGGCAAGCAGGGTGCTTCTTTTGGCATTGGCCTCCACTGTAATCTTATCAGGACATTCTCTGGTGGGCCTGTGCGCAGGTCGGGACGCCTCGCCACTGTGTGACGGCGGCCCGCGGCGGCCCCACGGGGCTCGCAGGCGCCGCCGTGCCTCGCGGCGCGGAGGCGGCCGAGGGCGGTGGGAGCCGCGCTCCGAGCTTGAAGACGGCGAGCTCCAGCGGGGCCTCGTCGGGCCGGTCGGCCCGGAACACGTTCTCGCACTTGACCTCGCCGCCCCCCGACGCGGATCTGGTGTCGTCGTCGTCGCCGTCGTCCATCGTCGTCGTCCATCGTCGTCATCGTCGTCATGGTCTCCCGTCGTCCATCGTCGTCATCGTCCGTCGACGTCGTAGTCAAGTCAGCCTCGTCGTCCGTCACCTCCCGTCGTCGTCATCGTCGGTCCTCAGTCGTCGTCGTCGTCGTCGCTCGTCGGTCGTCCCCCGTCTCTTGTCCCTCGTCCGCCTTCCGTCGTCCTTCGGGGTAGGCAGAGCCCTCTTTGAGCACAGCACGGGATTCACCAAAGGGGGGGTGACCCTGAGGGGGGCATGAGTTCGATCCGCTGGTGCACCGAACTGCTGCAAACAGATGCCCCCCGCATGCCCCACATGTCGGCAACTGTCGGGAGCTGCTGGCAGCTGGGGGGCATCTGTTCTGGGCGGCTCGGTGCAAAAGCGATCGAACTCACCCCCCCCCTGGGGCACACACTCCCTTGGCGGGATCCCGAATAACACACTTCTGTCTGGAGGTAGGAAAGGGGCGCGGCGTGAAGGGATTGTGGTGCCAATGCCACAAAGGGGTGTGGTGCCACACCACCCTTTTATTAGAGGCCTGTCCCTGATGGTGTCGGAGGATCGCGCCGCATCGCCAACGCATCGTCGATTTATCGTCGATGCATCGGCGATGCACTGGCGACGTCGGCGATGCATCGGCGACGACGTGAGGCAAATCGGGCCCCACATCGAGCCGCATCGCCGATTCATCGGCGATGCGGCGCGATCCGGCGACCTCATCTGCTCCGACGCCGTCTGGGAGGCCTGCATCTGTGCCACACCCCCTTTGTGGGCGGGCGTGCAGGCCCGCAGCAGCTGCGGCCGCGAAGGCCCCCCCTCGAGGGCCCGACTCGGCAGGGCCGGGCCGGTGCCGCTGTCAACGGCCGAGCAGAGGAGGCCCCAAGGGGGGGCGAGGACGAGGAGGAGCAGGAGGAGGAGGAGGACGAGGAAGAGAAAGAAGAGGAGGAGGAGGAGAAGGAGGAGGAGGAGGCGGAGGACCAGGAGGACAAGGAGAAGGAGGAGGACGAGGAAGAGGAGGACGAGGAGGAGGAGGAGTACGCGAGGCAGGATGAAGAGGAGGTGTTGCGATCGAGGGTCGAGGGCTTCGGGCATTTCGGGGCGCGTTTCGAGGCTGCAGCGCTTTGCCCACGGCGGCCAAGGGCCGAGGGTTGCGGGCGCCTCGGGCCCTCGACGGGCCTCGCCCGACGCGGTGACGGCCCCGAGCTCTCGACCCCTCCTCGGACAAGTTTCGCATCCCAGGTCGTTTTCTGGACAGCTCTGGGGCCCGGCCCAGATGTAGGAACACTCAGCACTGAACCATGAAATCGCATCCAATCAGAACGCGCGTGGGATCGGTCAGCATCGGCACTGAAACGAAATCGAATCGGAACGGCTGCGGCATGACGCACAACAGCGCCAAACAAACATCGGGCTCAAACGGATCGCACGAATATCGCAATCGCATCAAATCGAGCTGCGCAGGATTGACATTGACTGTCGGAGACGGAGCCACGCCGAGAATGGGCCGCAACAGGGCTCGTTACGCCTTCTCCCAAAGCTGGTCGTTGTCATGGTGCTACTGATCCTTCCCTCCTCCTTGTCCTCTTCCTCCTCCTCCTCCTCCTTCCGCGCCTCCTCGAAGAGGTGAAGGCCAAAGGGAATTGAACGAAGGGAGACAGCGGAAAATCGGCAACACGCAGTATGACGAGCCAGACAGGAATAAGAATCGGCGCATGGAGCAGCAGGCAGAGGAACAAGAGCACGAGGATAATGACGAGGCCTGTGGAGCAGCATCAGGGTGTCGAGTAGGTTAACCAGCCGACGCGATAGGCGAACAATCAAGAGAATGAGGCTGAGGAGCGGCATCACAGGTGAAGTGCTAAGAATAACGAGGAGAAGATGACTAGAATAATGATGACGAGAAAGAAGAGGCAGATCACCGCATGTAGGACAACGGCGGTACTACTCGTCAACAACGAGAGGCGCAAAGAGGGAGCATCCGCACAGGGATGTAGGGGAAGAGGGAGGAGCAGTCGCAATTGAAAACGGGCGCGAACTGGAAGGGGTGGAAAAAACAGGGATAGGGTGAGGAAGAGAAGGCGAGTGATGAGGAACACGATCAGGCGCGGACACGCCGAATGGGCAACAGCGGCTCATGTTGCTGGGCAAAATGCCGCAGCAGGCGACCAACATCCAGACCTTGCGAGGGTTCCCACGGGGCGCTCTGAATCCTCAAAACAGTCCCGGAGATAGTTTGACAGTCGGAATCATTAGAGCAGTCCCCTGGGACTGCGCAGAGGAGCTATCCTGTCTATGAGTTTTTGGATGGGGAGGCGCCCAGACGAACCGAACAAGCCAGAAGCCATGGCACATCGAACCCCGCTCGACCCCTTCCTCTGTACCTCACCCTCCTCTTTCCCCCCTTCCTCCTCCACCCCGCTTCCTCCTACCTCCCCAACCTCCCTGCCCTGCCCCTGCTTCCTTCTGCCTGTTCCTCCGCCTTCGGACCTCCCCGCCCTGCTCTCTCCCCCCTCCACCTCCCTCCACCCTCCCCCCCCCCTTCCCTCGGGGGTCCCAAGAGAGCAGTGCGGTGACAGACCGTGCGGTGACGTCGAAGTTCCAAACGGTCCGTCGGCCGAGCCATCCTGGGAGAGCGGCCGAGGCCCCACAAGCCGTGCGGCCACCTCGAGTCCCCACCGGCTTACCGCATCGCTTGGGGCCCCCGACGCCTCCCAGGACATGCGGCGGTCTGACTCCTTCAGTGCACGGCCCCCGAGGTTCCAACCCTTGCCCAAGGGCCGGCTCGTCGAAACGAAAAGACGGCCCACGAGAGCGCCCAGGCACCGTTCAGCTCGAGCACTGGTCTCCGCCAGGGGGCGCCGGCCCGCCGACCCCGACTGCGTCAGCGCAGTATTGATTCGGGGTGGTGGCGCTCGCGCGAGGGCGGTCACGGCCACGAAGGGCCGCTCCCAGACCCCCTTAGGGACATGGACAAATCACGACGTGAGGTTTGTCGCTATGGGGGGCCTCTGGGGGCCCTCACTGGGCCTCTGAACCATCAAAGACTGGCTCGGGATGAGAAGCAGGTCCCGGGGAATGGGTCGAGACCTCCAGGGTTGTTATAAAACAATCATGGCGTCGAGGGTCTGGGTTCACCACAAGCTATGTCGCCCGCCCTAAATGCAGTGGAACACCATGCCAATAAATACCCTGCTTGCCTCCAGGGTGCCCTGGGTTTCTTGGGTGTCGATGGTTTTGTTGTGGAAAGCCGTTCCCACACCAAAAATCAGCGGACGGCCTGGGTTCTCAGGGTTGGGTTTCTTGTGGAAGGTTTCTCGTGGTCGAGCTCCTACTGTCGTGCTCATCAGCGATGAGCAGCAATCGTGTCTGGCCAAAGCCTTTCCGGCGCCCTGCCTGCAGTGATTTTGCCGCGGCGTCATTGCAACAGGCACTGTCCAAGTCCGCGGGCAGTGGAGCTTCAGCTTGCGCATGCGAAGCATCACTCGTCAACTTTCCTCTTGAAGGCAGATATTATGTCTGTGTGTGCGCAGGTAGCTGCTGACAAAAAGTTCCACAAAGAGAACGAGATGAGCAGTCCAGCATTGCAGTCCCACTGCCTTCCCTAGCAACCTCCTGGATGGGGTCGGAGTAGATGGGGCCGGAAGGTTTCACCGCATCGCTAATGCAGCGGCGATGCATCGACGACGCCGGCGTGGAAAACATCGGGCTCCACATCCAGCCAGGTCGCCGATGCATCGGCGATGCGGCGCGAGCCTCCGACCCCATCTACTCGGACCGCAATTGGGAGGCCTAAATTCCCTCGCGCCCCCCTAGAGCTCGCGTCGCGGTGGATCACGCGCTGGCCGTGCAAGAATGCCAGGGCGGAGAGGAGCTGCCTCGCGGCGAAGGATGGGTGACCCTCAATTCTCCTCGGTTCCCTCCGTGTCCTCCCACTCCTCGTCGATCATCCTGCCTCCTCGATCCTCGGTCCTCCTCCACGGGCATGTGCTAGTACATGCTCGGAGGCCCGGGCGGACTTCTTGGATCCCCGCTGGGCCCCCCCTCCAGGCAAGGCGCTGGAGGCGCCGTCCAGGGGGGCCCAGCGCCGCTGGAAGAAATCCGCGCGGAGCTCCGAGAGTGGATGCTTACTGTCATCCTGCTGGAACGAATGGGCTGTGTTCAGGATCGGCCCGAAAACCCAAGCCTCTCCTGAACCCAAACCAGCCCATACGGCCAGGTCTTGACTGTAGGCCGCTCTTCCTTGTCGGGACGGGGGGGGAGATGGGCGAAAAGCGGTGCGGGGGCGGCCGGCCGCCTGGCACGACAGAGGAACAAGCAAGGACGGCCAGGGCCGGCGTGGGCATATAGGCCACCAGCCGGTGGTCGGTATGGAAGTTCGGCGCAACCAGGGTCAGGAACTTTCGGATGGCGCGTCGCTGGCCCACCACACTGCGGCGCGACACGCAGCCCACTTCCAAAGCCAAGCGCGTCAACATGAACGAACATTTCCCAGCCCCCCGCCCCACGGAACGAAACGACACACGATCAGCTCGCAAGGCACAGTGCGTCGCAGGGGCCGCCGCGGCGACACGCCGATGCATGTCGCCCTGGCGGCCCTGGCTGGAACACACACAAGATGCATGGGGGATGCTGAATGCCAGATGCGGGCACTCCGCTTAACTGCGGGGAAGGGGCGCCCCCTTGAACAACTGAGCGCCTCGTGGGCCAGGAAGTGCCCCGCGAGAGCCCCAGTGTGCAAGGAACGTATATCCGTCCATGAGGCCGTTTTCCATTCATCGCGTGCGAAGGGAAGGCCTCAAGCAAGAGCGTCGCTTTCGGAAGGGACCGCCCTCCATCCACGCACGTGTTGCAACAATTCAAATTTCGTGGTAATGCACGCCAAAATATATTCTAAAACAGGGCCGTGCGTCAGCGTGACAGTGTACGACGCACATGATGACGCACGCGGCGGAATAATGACATGTGTGCACCCGCCCATACAAATGTTCGGCCTTCTTCAACATCGATGTGCGCGATCGTTACGTAAGCAAGCAGTTTGGCACCCCTCCTCCACCCATCAGTGTAATCATCGGGGCTCTGTGACCTCCGCCACCCAAAAAAACACACACACACACAAGGGATGGATAATTTGCCCAGGGGCCATGAACGAACATACTCGACGCGGGTGTCCCCGCATGTGCATATCAGAAACCGGTCGCGTCTCGCCGAAGGACCCAATACGCGCGCGTTCGCGTTCGAAATCGAGCTCCCGTAAACGACGCGGGCGAGTGACACGGCTACGACAACACGCCTTTCCTTTTTCTCCTCCCCCTATATCTGGATATCCGTTGGGACAAATGGCGGCCCCTATGGGAATAAAACAAATATGCCGTCACCACTTGGCATCGGGGCGGCAGCCGGGGTCCGCTCACGCAATGGCAATGGAAAGCTGTTCGGGTGGCTCCTTCGGGCCAGCTCCAGCAAAACCGCCCACGCTTCGCATCGGGTCGCAGGGAGCGGAAGGGGGCGCTCTTCTCCCCGCAGCGCGCTACCCTGCACTTCTCGGCAAGCAAAACGGCCCTGTTCACCCGTCGAACCCCCGTTCTCCGTGAAGCATTGGGAGACGCTGTTCGCCGCCAGCGGCGGAGTTTTTTTCCTCTCCAGAAGCCAGCGAAGAGGCGGCCGCTCCAGCAGCATGTCCGCCATCTGGATGGCACGGGGGAAAACCACGTAGAGGTTTGGAAGCCATGCGTCGTCGTCAGCGCTGCGCTGTCCCTGGGGCTCCTGGCGCGCGCAATCGATGATCACTGAGCGGCGACTCGTGCGCCCTTGCGAGGCCGCCGTCGTCAGGTAGTGGGCGTACGAGAGCACGACGCCGAAACGCTTCACGGTGTGCGCCACGGACTACGCCTCCCAGGTGAAGGTGGTCTCCATCAGAGGCATGCGTACCAGTCCGCGAACACTCCTCTGCAAGCTTCTCCCTGTTGTCCATATATCACACGGGATCTGTCGACCCCAGGCTTCGTGAAGCTTTCGGATGCAATTGAAACTGCGGCCCAACTCTTGGAAATACAAGGGGGGGGGGCGTCCATCCTCGATAGGGGCGCGTCCGAATAGCCCCTTTGGGGTGGATTTCAAAGCCCCCCTCCTTGTCTCACTGGCTTCATCTTCCGTTGAAAAGTCGGGGGCTGGGGAAGGCAAGTTGCCTGCGAACGTATCCCATGAAACGGCGCCACGTGGGACCCTACTTGATGTCGTCGGCCTCCAGCAAACTGGCCATCGGGGCACGGCGCGTCCTGGAGATCTCGACCCGGCGCGTGTTGTTGTAGTCCACCTGGTCGTTGCGGTGGAACACGAAAACGACGATGGTGGCCCGCTGCTTCTAGAAGAGGCCGCAGGTTCAATTGAACTTGCAAGCGGAATTCGCATCCCAACGTTGGTGGGGAACACGCCGTGGATCCGGCCTGTCCAGTGGATGTTGGCCACGTTCAGCATCCGGGAGTACATCGCCTTCTCCTTGACAGTGATTGTTTTTGGTCTTGGACTTTTCGGACTTCGCATCCGCGACCGCCCTGAGGACGCAAAGAACAGCGAGGGTGAAAAGAAAAAGGTGGCCCAAAAGAGCCCCGGCCACATGGCCAAGAAGGCAAGATGCCACCAGGCGATGGCACAACCAATCGTTTGCCTCAAGCCATTTTGGCTCAAGCCATAGAAAGCTGGAACAGTGTGACCAAGCACCGTTTGGGATGGGCCCCTGTCCCCGCCACGTGGCCTGTGAGCATGGAAAGGGGGCTTGCCCTGGACTCGGCCGGAGTCGAAACAGTGCATGTGTTCACTGGTTTCGCCACGCACGCGCGTGCTTAGTCCTAGAAGCCAGATGCCGCCACACCTGCCCCGGCCGCGTGGCCGATGGAGACTGGGACACGGTGCACGGAGGGATTGTATAGCCCTCGCTGGCTGCCTGCTGGAAGACCAGCGGCACCTCGAATACGCGGGCGTCGCGCCGCGCCCGCTTGGTGATCCAGCGCACGTCAGGTTCCCAGTACATGGCTAAGCCGTACACCTTGAGGAATTGATGACGCGCGCGCGGCGGGTCCAGCTCACGGTTTGGGTCGGGGCGCCTGTCCTGGAGGTCTGAATCAGAAGGATTTGGGGAAGAGACGTTCCGTTGCCCATCTTAGAAGAGGATGTGAGGGATGTGGGGAATGAGCTCTCGACATGGTGGGTGTAGGGAGAACCTCTTGAAAGAACGGAAGTGAGCATGTAGGCGACAACAGGGAACCCATCTTGGGATGTGGGGAACAGCCCTCGACGTTCCGTTCCAGGCCGCAGGAAGGCCCCGGCAGGGCCCAGGGGCGCCCGGAGGCCAACACAAACAACGCAGCGGCTGCAAGATACGTAGAACAGACGTGCGACAGGAGTCACAGGAGAAGGGCAATCTGTAGGAACACACGTGAAACGCACAGGGCTCGAGTCCCAGGAACGAGGCACGGCAATATATGAAAGCATTCGCAACACACCTGGGCTTCGGTCCACAGGAAGGGGGCCATTTGCAGGAACAAGCGTAGACCACATAAGATTCGAGCGGATTCGAGCCCAAGGGAGGATGCGATCGATAGGAGCAGAAGGCAATATATTGGAACATATGCAACACACGTTAGATCCGAATCACAGGACAGGGGCAATGCACACACATATATATATATATATATATATATATATAACAGCCGTAGAACACATAGTAGCTGAGCCCCATGAAACACGCAATCTATAGGAGCATACGTCAAACACATCGGGTTCGAGACACAGGGGAGGGGCAATTTGCAGGAACAGACGTAAACCACATGGGATACTCAATACCCCCCCATGGACCGAGATCTCCAGAAACATCTGAAGATCGAAAGTCAACGAATAATATAAGTTGACGGCAAGTCGATTCCCTTGGGAGTGTTGATGCCAGCACCTCGCCTGAGGCATCCTCGAACCCTGCTCTGGAAGCCAAGATGTTCCGGCTCGAAAGAAGCACACGGCATTCGACATCCCCACAATTTGGGCGCGAACAAGCCCATCAACACCCCATAGCCCAACATTGGAATCATGAAACCAGCGCATTGCCCGAGACATTCTGAACATCCGCTCCAAATTCAAAAGATGGTACGGCCCGAACCAGGCGAACCGCCTGAGACACCCCAAACCTGGGCGCGAACGGACCCCTGCAATACCTCATGGCGCGCGCCCCTCCTTGGGAATGCTGGAACCGGCGCCTCGCCTGAGGCATCCTCAATATCTGCTCTGGAAGCCAAGGAGGCCACGGTCCGAAACAAGCACAACGTTTGCGACGCCCCCACAATCTGGAAGCGAACGGGCCGGCGCAATACCCCCTGGCGCCCCTGTTGGGAAAGCTGAAGCAAGCACCTCGCTGGAGATATCCTCAACATCTGCTCCGGAGGCAAAGGATGTCGCGGTCCGGAGCAAGCAGGCTGCCTGATACATCCCCTGAATCTGGGCGTGAACAGGCCAGCACCACCCCCTGCCCCTCCCCCTTTGGGAGTGCTGAAGCCAGCGCCTCGCCTGAGATGGGACATCCGCACTGTCTGCGTGCGCGAGTAATTCTGAGCATGGGTGAGTCGAAATGAGGAAATGATGTAACTGACTCTGCGTGAGTAAGAGTGAGTCTGACTATGAATTGATATAAATGATGAGTGAGTCTGAGTACGTGTGAGTCTGAATGCGACTGAGATTGCAAGCGAGTGCGTCCGAGTACGGATGCATATGAGTGTGAGCTTGTCTGAATGAACAGTGGAAGGACGCCAGCGAATCAGACTGAACACCTGTGAACTCAAAAGAATATGATGCGTAGGTCTGAGCGTTGGTGAACCCGAACCTAAGTCTGAAC